GCGTGTGCGTGTGCGTGTGCGTGTACGTGTACGTGTGGGTGTGCGTGTGTGTGTGTGTGTATTGTGCGTGTTGTGTACGTGTGTGTATTGTGTCAGGGGCGGATCCAGAAGGGGGTCGAGGGGGTCCGGAGCCCCCTCCTTTTTACCACAAAAAAAGAGAATAAAAGCATACACACACGCACGCGCGCACGCACGCACGCACGCACGCACGCACGCACGCACACACCCACACACACACACTTCTCTTACATTGTCTCCATAAAAAAAATTATGTTTAGCGCTAGTTTTTCTGATAAAGATTTACTTATATATATGTGAATTCGTTATAAAAACCTAGAAATGGGCAAAGAGGGGTCCGCAGGCGTCCGGGGGACCGGATCTGATATTGAAATTTTTGCATTCTAGACATCAAAATTACTGCTCAGATGCTCTCAGAATGCACCAATTTTTAAAAAATATCTTGGGGGAGGTCCCCCAACCCCTCCCTAAGTGGCCTTCGGCAGATTTTTAAAACACCAGAAAAAGTAAACAGGAAAAAGTGCCCTTTATTTCTTCCTGGACACCCCTTTTCAAAAATCCTGGATCCGCCCATGTGTGTGCGTGTGCGTGTGCGTGTGCGTGTGCGTGTGTGTGTGGTGCGTGTGCGTGTGCTAGTGTATGTGCGTGTATTGTGCGTGTTGTGTATGTGTGTGTGTTGTGCGTGTTGTGTATGTGCGTGGGTGTGTGTATTGTGCGTGTTGTATGTGTGTGCGTGGGTGTGTACGTGTGTACGGACGCCCGGGTTCGTCTATAATAAACGTAGCTGTTCATGCGGAACATATTGCATCGAATTAATATTTGGCCAACCAACAGCTGCGCGAACAAAATGCGGGATGTATTCAATGTAAACTGATGACATTTTGGAGCCAGACAACCCCGTATTAACTTAATACTCATCATTGTTTGTACTGTCTGCTTGTGTGTCGAGACCACTTCGTCTAGCCAGAGCTATCGTAGTTTGAATGTTATACGGCGATATATAAAAGAGAATATAAGTAGAATAGAAAAACATAGATAACCGGACCTGGTCGCTTTACTCGCGATATCAGAAGAAGAATCTTTAAATTAAGATCTTTAAGATTCCCACCAAACCTTCCAGGGCCGTGCCGCGACCTAGTGTCAGCTTTCGGAACTAAATTCTAGCTCGCTATCCGCTTGAGCGAATTCGGTTCATCTCAGCATCTAGAGCCCCAAGCAGGCCGCGGTGTGAACTCACAGCGAGTCTCACTCTAGTCGCGTTAAGAAAGCTCAACAGCTGACCACAAGAGAGAGCGAGAGAGAGACAAAGCGAGAGACGGTGGCGTAGGCGGATCAGTGGGAATAGAGAGACTTAGCTCGGGTGGTACGCAAACTAAAACAACGAGGTGCGTCGTGTGTTTGAGACTATGTCCGTGGGCCTTATCGGCAGGCGACAGACAAACTGTGTCTGATCTTCTGGTGAGTAGATTTTTGTTCGGATAATATCATGCCACCGTTGGCGTAACTTTCGCATCCTACTGGGTTATATACACACATACACACGCACACACACACATACACACTCACACACACACGCTCGCGCACACACACGCATGCACGCACACACACACACTTGCTGATTGATTGATTGAATCAATAACAAATCATAGATATACCAAGCCTAGTAAATGATATTGTCCTTGTTATATTTCAGCGTGTCGTGCTTAGCTATATAAGAAATATTCACTCATAATTTTAGGTATAATATAATAATTGTTTCCTGGATGCTCGGGCAACATAAGGATTGTTTGAAATGAAATGGATTGTTGGATGATTGGATTGTTTGATGATTGTAGATGTTGGCAGAGGCCTAGGGATAATGAATGCAGTGCAAGAGTTTGATAATGCAGTAGCAGACTTACTGTAATGTGTTTCAAAAGGAGATTATAATAGGCATAGTGTGAAAGACAGCTGCTATGAAAACTGTAATTGTACATTGCTTGTTGAAGAGTAGAATGCAAAGGTTAATATAACGAAACAGAACGCAACATGCGGAAACGTAACGTATCTTTTTAACCGTGACATATCAGACCTTCATAATTTAGCACGATATTGTAACGTACGTTAACTATGAGATAATGCAAGAAAAATATGTTGTGAGAGTATCGTAGGCTGAAGAACATTTTGTGGAGTAGACGAAAATAGTTAATAATACTTCAGTGAATACAGCAGTAGTGCAATTATTATTTACAGACCAACGTAATTATCATTGCGTGAAGGAATAGTATAATAAAGACAGTAATTGTACAATGTTTAGCAAATAGAAGTATTTAGAATGCAAGACCAAGGTTAACAAAAGGAAACGCAACGTAACGTAAAATCTTAAAAAACTTAAAAAGCTTAAGCCCGGCGCACACGTGAGTAATTTTACTCAAGTAAAATTATGCATGCGTCAAAATACTCAACGAAAATCCGCCGCACACGTGAGTATTTTGACGCATGTTAATCACGAAGATGTGCAAGGAAAGGATATTATGGGAATATTGTATGCTGAAGAAAATTGTATTATCCGGACAAAAATTGGAAATACTAAGTTAAATAAATATCAGTAACGAAATAAATAAACGAGTTAATAATAACGAGTTAAATAAATATAGTACGAGAGCAAAGAAATTTTAGGCTTGCGTATACCCACTTTGGCGTAAACACAACAAACATAGCATCGCCGTAACCTAGCTTTACTGTATTGTAGAATGCTGAACTGCGAAGTACTGTAGTGACACAGCAGGAGTTTCGTACTCACTCATCTCGGTGTGCATGTATTGCATTATAAACATTCATGTCATATTTTAATGTCATTATCATAATTATCATCATGACATCAGTGACAACATACCATATCAAATTTTGCAGTCTGTACGGGGTATTCCGTACGTAATAAAAGCTACGTATGGGATCCTCCTTGATGCAGGGGGACCACGCACACAAAAAAAGCTGCACCTGATTTCAACGTTCAATGATCTCTACGTTCAATTTCTACGTTCAATGCACCTGATTTCTACGTTGATCTGAAACCTACCTTCAGCGGTTTCTCCTCTGGCGAGCCCTCTGGCGCGTTGCCGTTAAACGTGAAGCAGACGCCCTTCTCTGTGACGAGCATCGTAAAATTCGTCTCCGTGCAGATCTCCCTCTCCCGCCAGATGCAGCGCTGAGTCTTCGACAGCACTTCACTGTAGGGCGAGTCGGGGTCAGTTATGAACAGCGGCAGGTATGACTTCAGCATGAATGTTATTATGTGTGTCTGCGTGTTTATAACTTGTAGATCCTATCAAAGTAAGCAATCGTGTTTGGCGGATATCCTTCGTTGGATGATTCGGGATGTTATCCGATCTGGGTTCTTGTTAAAACAGGATAACGGACGTGGCGATTTGACACACCTCGAACGGTCCAGTCTGCTGATTTAAGTGTGTAGTTCCCCACAGTGTGCAAGCTTGTTACATTAGTGCTGCAAGGCTGTGGGGGTTAGTTATCTTGGATCCCTGGGGTGTCCGAAAAAATCTAAAGAATTTCCCATCTTCCACGCCTTAATTACGTACCGGGTCGAGACACTCGGACTTTCACGCTTGTCGAAGGAGCTGGTTCGCTGGTTGAAACCTACAAATTATGTATCGTCGTATTTTCATACACGCTCTCCTGAAATGCAAGACGTGTCTGTTGGACGTTTGGCTGAGTCATGCTTCTTGTTAGACCCCGTGGATGGATGCGTCACAGTTGATCGTGTTACGATATTTCGATGCAATCTTCATCGTGTTGCTCGTAGAGACCGGGCATCGTCGGTGGCATATGCACGCACGCACGCACGCACGCACGCACGCACGCACGCACGTACACGCGGGCGCACGCACGCTCACACTTCCGTATCGTAACCCATCGTTGTTAATAATTGCAGCGTGCGAACTACGGCGACCATACGTTCTATTGACATTTCCAATTTATCGCGCGGGCAATAAACGCAAGTAATATATCCAGCAAACGAGTGAACGCCTATTATATCTGTAATATCTGGCGTATCGGGTATATAGGCCGTGAATGTGATTGGAATAGTTAATAAAACGATAGCTACAGCGCATACACATTAAACTGACGCGTCGACACTGTCCGTGTGTATACGTAACGAAGATCCGGAAAATGATCACAGGAAACTTTGTCACACAGAAGATTTGTCGTACGGAAGACTGGTCGCAAATAGTAAACCTCGGTTCGCTACCATAACGAGGAAAGCGGAGTGGGGAGGGGAGGAGGAAGGGGGGATGAGAAAGAGATAGATAGAGAGATCGCGGGCGCGCGCGAGAAAGAGAGAGAAGAGAGACGGGAGAGAGGGAAAATGTGATAATGTAGAGGGGGCAAGAGAGAAGGACGGGGATAGGAAAGAGTTGTTGTCTATATTAGCTCTGCTAACCACTGTAACTCGTGGCCCGGGGCTACATACAAACGATAGTCATTCCCTCGTGGGCTCAACTGAACCGCTATGAATCGCCCGTAGCTTAACAGAGACGATCGACAAAGTCAAACATTGCAGTCTTAGTCATCGACAGAGCAAATATTTGAATCGCGCTTAACAGTTCGAGCGGTACAATGTGGTTCTAGATCAGATTATAAAGTTGTCAATGGCGTGCATTGTACTTAATGCGATGCGTCCACGGACGATGAAGGGCCCAATAGCTTCTAATAGCCCGACTTCGGGGTCTTTCTCGCTGTTTAAGTCATTAAGTGAATTGACTTTCTAGTCACGCGATCATCGTACGGTCTCGCCTTCTCGCTTCTACCGTATATGTTCACACACACGCGCACACTATACAGACACACATACTCGCGCGCGCACATGCGCTTAGGCAGTCGACGCGGGTACACGATCGTGTGAACTGGTCAGGCTGGGCACTCTCAAATCAAATCCGTAGCAGCGTAATGCAAACATCTGCCACTTTGCTTGTGCCGACTGCTTACTGTGACGACCCGACGTTTTGATGCACTTGCCTACCGGATCTTGTTTTGTTTCGCGTTGTTTACGCCAGGGTGACACGCACCAGTGACAGAAACAGTGAGCTTTTCGGAGCTTTACTCGGCGCCTCCCTCAACCATCCACCACCCTCACATCCTTACACTATGAAAACCACTCCTGTCGTATTGTAGCTCGCTATTAAATTATGCACAAACGCAGTGTATCAATAGACAAGTAGAACGAACTCAGAGAAGTGGGTACTTCTCTGAGTTCGTTCTACTTGTCTATTGATACACTGCGTTTGTTGGCCTAGTCCCCTCCCACAGTACTTAATTAATAATAGCGACGCAAAATTCGTATGCGAGTGCGAGCGCGAGCGCAATTTACACCCCTCTGTAAAGTGTGGAGGTCCTTCGCGTTAAAAAAAAGCACAGTGTATGTCCAGATGTGCACCATTAGCGCTAGCTCGCGAGTCGCGACCCTGCTGGTCACTGAAAACCTTGGTATGACTCTCCGGGTGAGAACGGCGAACGTGGCTCCCGGGGTGGTGGTGGGGTGGGGTGGGGGTGGAACTCGAGCGTAATTGCAAAACACGGGTGCATAAAGTATATCTCTAAACGCGCTCAGGTGGCGGAGGTAAGTGGCCACCTGCGTGCTCTTCGCTACGGCTCGGCTCTGCTGCTCTCGGCCACTGGTCTTACTCGTTGAATTATGCGTTCTATGCCCCCCACCCCCACCCGCCGCCACACAGATAAAGTAACGCGCCATCTGTCTGGAATAGGCCTATAGACCTTTTAAAAATCTATTGAGCTCACGCGTGGTATCATGGTGGTATATAGAACGGTAGGCGTTCTATGTCAATATGTGAGCCGTTGTTAGTGTTAGTGCTATGGTTAGGGTTAGCGTTAGGGCCATGGTTATGGTTAGTGATCGGGTTACGGATTAGGGCTAGGGTTAAGGTTATGGTTATTGTTAGTAATCGGGTTACGGGTTAGGGCTACGGTTAAGGTTAGGGCTAGGGTTATGGTTAGGGTTATGACTTATGGTTACGGTTAGGGTTAGGATTACGGTTAGAAATATGGTTAGGCCTTGGGTTAGAATTAAGGTTATTGTCAGGGTTAGGGTTATGGTTAGGATTAGAGTGAGGGTTTGGAGTAGGATTAAGATTAGTATTAGGATTAATGATAATGGTTAGGGTGTGTGTTAGTGTTAGGGTTAGAATCATCGTTATGTTCGGGGTTAGGGTTAGGATTAGTATTAGAATTAGTGCCATGGGTATTGCTATGGTTGGGGTTAGTGTTAGTGTTATGGTTATGCTTAGGGTTAGACTAAGGGTTAGTCTTATGGGTTGGATTAGGGTTATGGTTAGGGTTAAAGTTAGTGTTAGGCTTAGTCTTATGCTTAGGCTAAGGCTTGGGCTTAGGGTTAGGCTTATGGTAATGTTATACGGAGCTCCTTTACTCGTAACACGCAATTAAAC